GTGTGTGTGTGTGTGTGTGTGTGTGTGTGTGTGTGTGTGTGTGTGTGTGTGAGACGCACCGGTGGCCGGGTTCACCAAAATGCTCCCCGGCGGGATGCCGTTCTCTGCGATGAAGGCGGAGTTAGGAGGCGGCTCCTCAATGATGGGAGGAGGAGAGGCGCGGGGACAAGCGGGCGACAGCCTGTAAAGAGGGATGGAGCCTGAGGGAGACGGGAGAACAGAAGTGAAAAGGAGAAAATGATCTGGAGAAAACAAAACGGTGCTAAAAACAAACTGCGCGCCGCCCTCCAGCATTAATGACTTCTCTCTTTTTTTTCTTTCTTTTTTCCCTGAACATGTGAAGATGAAGTCTGGAGGTGTTGTGTGAAAATTTACAGCTCTGGTGTGAAGATTTGTGGCTTCGCACCAGAAGAACTTCCACTGCTTTTTGTTAATTAGACACTGCTGAATAAAAAGCCGATAATTTATAAAGAGTGATTTTTCTTTCTGCAAAGTGTGGGGCGCTGATGCCTCGGGTGGCTGAGTTTACACCTGGATGACGTGACGTGAGGAGCGATAATATATATATGTGAAGTTTAAAAAGACACACCTGAACCTCTCGTGTCGTAGCTGTGACAGGCAGGTGGGCGGGGTTTTGGGGCGGGACTCGTCCACTGATGGGAGGAGTCTGAGTCGGTGCTGCTCCAGGGTCGGGGGTCGCTGCTGTAGCGGCAGTCGGTCTCGAAGCTGCTCTGCCTGCTGCTGCCTGTCCAGCTGGAGCCGGAGCTGTCCCGGCTCCCCCTGTGAGGCACATCCACAGCACAGCATTAGAGCTGCTGACAATGAGAGGCTGAGGGGTTTTTATGCCACGTTATTTCACCCAAATCATCTTTAAAGAGTTTCTTTGCTGCAGGAAGTCTAAACCCCAACACACACGGAGGAATAAAATAAGATCTCAGCCCTCGCTATGTTTCCGCTGCAGAAGCCCTGCGCCAGCCAGGCTGACCAGATTAAGATGATAAATGACTGAGCGAGCACACGGAGCTTCACCTGAAGAGCTGTCTTCTCCTCTGGGTCTCAGCGTTTGGATTGTACTCCTCCACATCCCTGCACACACACACACACACACACACACACACACACACACACACACACACNCCCTGCACACACACACACACACACACACACACACACACACACACCTGGATATTAATATTCTCATCTAAGTATAAAAAGCTGAAAGTTAGACGGAGAGAATACACTTCAGGCAAGGTTACCTGGTTTCCACCCGGGTGCTCTCCTGAGTGCAGGGTGGCTGGAAGAGAATGAAGGAGAAATTAGTTTAAATTCATTTTTTCCCCTCTTCTTCTTCTTCTTCTTCTTCTTCTTCTCTCTGACTGTTTTATTCGTCTCGGTCTCTTTCTCTCACCTCTTTGTTGAAGATTCGTTCCCGCGCCTTTAGATACACCTCCTCTCTCTCCTCCATCGACCTGCTTTGCCTCTCGCGGAGAAGGGGACGACGGAACTGTTCGGGAGAGAGGGAAAAAAAAAAAAAAGAGGACGGCCCGAGTCAAGGACGGGGACACGATGGATGTCAGTTATGAAGATTAATGGGCAGGGAGGGAGGGCAGACAGACCTGCTCGTCCAAACTGTTGTCCCTCTTCAYGATGGTTCTCCACTGGGGGAGCTCGTCCGTCATCTCTTTGGGCGCCTCGTCCTGAAAACGCCGCTGCGGTCTGTGCGTGGACAGAACACGGCTGTCAGTAGCTAAAGGAAGCAGTGGACTCGGTGGATGGTTGAAGCTTACATGCGTGTGCTGATGGTCCTGTTGATGATGACAGATTTCCCGGTTTGGTCGACGTTGTGCTCCATGCCAAAGTAGGCCGCCACCCGATGGACCAGCATGCGGTGGTAGGACGACATGTGGGGGAACTTTTTAAAGGTGCTGAGAGGCAGAACACAGAAAGAGATTACCATAAAACACACACTTTAATCTCTAATAAGGTTTCATTTTATGCTTGTATATTAAAAAGCCAAGGCGGCCGCAGGGGAGCAGGACACACGCACACAAACACACACCTACTGCTGGTGATGAAGTCAATCATGTCCTGCTCCAGTTTGAGCAGCGTCAAACGGTCCCTGGGGTTGCTGTTCAGGGTGCTGACAATAAACTCGTGCAGGTCGATGCCGGTGGAGTCCGTGTACTCCGCGCTGCACTCTGGATGTGTCGGAGAAATGAAAAACACAGAACCGCAGCGCAATATTAAACACCCCGGGAGAGCCGCATCGAAATCGACGCCGAGAATCGCTTTTTTATTACTCTTTATTTGCCTCCTGTTTTATGAAACATCCACCCCGCGCTGACACACACACACATACACACACACACACACACCTTTGGACGGGGAGGGCTTCTTTGGATCCGAGCGCTTCTGCTCTTCCTCCTTACAGGAAGTTCTCTCGTCATGGCAGCTCGATGAGACGTCTGCGTCCGGAGAGGGCTGAAGCGGGAGGAAAACAAAGAGTGATTGGAGAGGCGGAGGTGGAAGAGGGGGATATGACGGCGCGGGCATGACTTACGTTGGTTTCTTCAAGCGGGAAGGACTCCTCGCTGACAGCCATGCTGCGCACCAGCTTTCCTTTGGCCTGAAGCACACGCACGTGCAATGTTACAAACTCCCAGCCAATCAATATCCAAGGATGAATAATGTGAGGAGCTACTTCAGCTTACCTTGAGTTTTTTCTTTGGTTGCACCTGGCTGCAGTGTTTCTGCAAGCGGGAGCGCAATTCGTTATTAGAAAGTGAAATACGAGTCGGTAAAAGAAGAGGCGCTATTTTTAACCGCGCGCTTTAGCCGTAATGTGGCCTACCTGCTGCTCGAGCGCTCTAACGTCAGCCTGACAGTCCTCGCCCGCTTTCTGGCTGCAGAGGGGGAGGCATGGCAGCGGGGAGGGGCAGCTCTCGCGTGACGTCACGTCGCAGCGTTTGACGAACGCCTCCGTGTTTTCTACAGCTGCTTCCGTCATCCTTCTGTAAAAATAAATAAATAAATAAATAAATAAATAAGAGAAAAAGCATGCAACGCAGAGCTCTGAGTCAGGGTTACTACAGCTTGAAGCAAGTTCAATTTAAGACTTTTTAATACCTCTTTAATGCTACGATATAAAATTTATGACAATTTAACCAAAAACAGTGACAATTTTACAAGAGGTATTTGGTAAATTATTTAAAAAAAATAAATGTTTCTGATTATTTTAATATTTGAGATGAATTACAGTCGCACTACTTGCGATGTTTTAACATTTTTAAGACCTCTGAAAAATTGATTTAAGACATTTTAAGGTTAATTAAGGCCTTATTTTTGGATTGATGAATTCAATTCCTTTTAAGACGTTTTAAGGATCTGTAGGAACCCTGRAGATTTGACCAGTTTAGCCAAACGTTCGCCCTGATTTGCACGTACCTGTATGGAACAGTTTACTGGTGAGCCTTACGAGTCAACGAAGGGGTCATATATCCCATTTTTTTTACCCCCCGCGGGGCAAACAGAAACGCAATTACTGTGTCCACCTCTGCTCACTTCCTCCACTGTTCTTTTCTCCGCGGGGCTCTTCACCGGTCGACAGAAAACAGCCTGAAGAGATTGAAAAATAGAAAAATAAAAACTGTTAGCAGTCGTTTATGTCAGAAAACACAACACACACACACACACACACACACACACACACACACACACGGTTTCCAGAGCATTCAGAAATGACATCAGGGAGCTAATCTTGTGTTCATTTGTGCATGAACCTGATCCTGGCTTAACGACTAATTGCTGCCTCGCAGTAGTCAGCGTTATTACTGTAAGAGTGTCTGTGTGACTTTATGGCTGCAACATATAAGCCTGTTATTGTGATGGGGTGGGGGGGCTTGTGTGTGTGTGTAGCCGGCGTGAACGCATGTCTGGTATGAGAGCGTGTCCTCGAGCTTTTCTTAGAAACAGCAGCTGTGGAGGAGAGCATCATCTGATCTGGCAGCAACGATATTCCCAGAATGCCAAGCTGAGGCTCTGATCCCCATGGTGAAAGTATTGCTGAGACCCTGGATGCACACACACACACACACACACACACACACACACACACACACAC